GATAGTTCAAATTTACGCCCTAGGGCCATTGGCGATAATTAAGTCAATTAGGATACAATCACATCGCTCACCCGAAGGCTAAAATATAGAAAAAAGGCAAAGTCAAGGGTTAAATTTATCAGTTCTAATGAGAATGCACTAGCGAAGTAAAGCACTGCGGTTTTACATAATTTCTGAGTAAGCTATTCGTACGAATTGAAATAATTCTTGCATTTAAACTTGCATTCCAAATCAAGATTTAACTTGAAATTATGATTAGTAGATAACTACTGAGAGAATTGGATTATTGTCTTTATTTATAGGCTTTTCACAAAATTTTAAGTGGTATTGTAATGTTTATGCCTTCAAAATAATAATAATAAAAAAATAAAATCATAGAACCAATATTTGTTAACATTTTTTATGTGTATACTGTATATTATCGCCAATAAAGTCTGCTTGGCGAGATCTGCACAGGCGAAACGGAAAAGTACCACGAAAAATCCCATAGCAGAGTTTTCCCCTGCTATGGGATTTTTGCCACTGTCTTCCTAGAAGAAACACGTCATAAGATGTCATTGCGGCAATTACATCAGAAGGTTGCAAATTATTGCGTTTTTTTTAAATAAAATAGTATATACTCCAATATGTGTTAGATCTATTAATATAAGGGCTCAATAAATTTCAATATGGAAACCAGACGGGAAATTTTACCCGTCTACCGTCTTGGCTGTAAGAGTTTTGCTGTCGCCATAGCTCGGGAAAACGTTTCGCTTGAATGTTGGTTAGTTTTGTTATCCACAATCCCTTTGTCAGGAACAGCATCAGAATCAGTAGCTAGCATGTATGCGGGCTTTAGTCTGTCAACAGAAATATTGACTGTCTTTCCTTTAAAATTAGCACAGAAAAATATTTCAGATACTTAAAACGGTCACGTATAAGTTGGTCAAGTGGCCTTTTTCACTTTGTCTGTTCTCACAAAATTATGCGAGCATGACTTATCAATCTTTGTGGACAATTTAATGTTTAATGTTTGTTCCACATATCATTTGGGCAATCGAGTGGTTTGTGTCACATCGTAGAGCAGATCTAAGACCCAAAAGAACTGTTGGTTTCAGTACACTGAGTATTATTATACGCTTTTATTAACGTTCTATGAAACCTCTCAGTTTTCTCATTGTATTGGGGATGGTAGATTGTATTGAGGTGGATTTTAGCCCCACATATTACAGCTCATTTCCCGAACACTGTGACTGAAACTGTGTTCATTAATCAGTAACAATTTTATATGGGACACCAAATCTGCAAATCCAATACTCATAAAAGCCTTTACTTACAACTTCTGTAATGATGTGTGGAAATGGGCTGACTTAATTGACAATTCAGCCCGTAAATCCTGTAAATTCATTCATCCCGTAAATCAGTCAATGCAGGTTAAACAATATTCATATTCATTTGAAGGGGGTAATGGGCCAATGAGATCGATATGCATCATACTTAAACGAGTATCTGGTTCTGAATATTCCGCAAATTTATATTTGGTGTGCCTAGTAAATTTACATTTTTGGCTTCTGATACATGCTTGAGCCCAGTCTTTTATTTGTTTTTTCATTCCAGGCCACACAAAACTAACAGTCATCTGTTTAATGTGAGATTTAATGCTAGGGTGTGAAAAACCATGAATTTAATTAAAACGTTCTCTCCTGAAACTAGCTGGAATGTAAGGCCGAATCTTATTTTCTGAGGTATCACACCATGAAACGTTTGACGATGGAAGTACGGACTGGCTAAATTCAAGTGTCGTGTCACTTTCCATTAGATCTTTCAATTCTGGATTTTTACTTTGTTCTACGACAATTTTCTCATAATCAATAACAGAGATCTGTGATAGAGTGTCTGCAAACACGTTTTCTTGTCCACTAATATGTCACATATCTGTGGTGAACTGCGAAATGTATTGTAGTTGACGCAGTTGGCTAGGGCATGCTTTCTCATTTTTTTACTTAAAGGCGAAGGTCAATTGCTTGTGATCTGTTACACTTACAAATTCTCTACCTTATAGTATGTATCTGAAATGTTTCACTGAAAGGTACATACCCAAGAGTTCACGATCGTAAGATTCACGTGTTGTAAGATTTCTGAGCGTCATTCAATTTATTTAAATAGAAAGCAATTGGCCTCCAGTTTCCTGTTTCAAATTGTTTTAGTACAGAGCAAATAGCACAGTCTGATGCATCAGTGCACAATGATAACCAGGGTCCAGGTCAGGGAAAGCATAAAAGGGCAGCATTAGTTAAATCATGCTTGCATTTTTCAAATTATTGTATTTCCTCTTCAATTAATGGGACTTTTTTTAATCCTTCCTTTTTGCACCCTTTAAAAAAACTCATGCAGTTGGGCCTGTATTTGAGCAGCATTTCTCAAATACCTGCGTTAAAATTTACCATACCCAAGAAGGCGCGGAAGGTCTTGTACGGTCACAGGTAGTGGATATTTTAGATGACCTGGACCTTGCTAGATAGGGGGACATGATCCTTTAGCAATAATCAGATAACCCAGAAACTCAATTTGATCTATTTCCAGAATGAATTTCTATACATTAATGCAAAGGCTACATTTACTCAATCTCTCAAACACTATCTGCAGATGTTGTTTGTATTCATCCCCAGATGATTATGCTATTAGCACACCGTCTAACTATGGGAATAGAAAATCCAAACCGAAGAAAACTTCGTTAATGAAACGCTGAAAGATAGCCGGTACATTTCTGAGTCCGAAACTCATAACAATGAATTCAAGTAATCCGAAAAGGGTAATTATGGCGGTCTTTGGTTTGTCTTCTTCAGCGACTGGTATCTGATAGTATGTTTTACTAGATCAATCATTGAAAATATATTTTTACCCTGCAAAATAAGATGAAAATCTTTGATTCTGGAAATCGGGTAACAGTCAGGTATGATTTGGTCCTTTAATCGTCTATGGTCCCCTCAGGCCCTAACTGTTCCACCTTTTTTACTGACTAAATGTAATGGACTAGGTCATTGACAATTTGATAGTAGAATGATTCCCATCTCCAACAGGAACTAAAATTCTTGCTTGGCTAAGGCAAGTTTCTCAGGATCTAGTGGACGGGCTCCTGAATGCACGGGTACCTAACTCTTTGTTATTTGATGCTTCACATCATGCTTACTTGAGGTACTGAAAACATATGTCTTAGTTAAGTCTGGGTAAGATTTAACTAATTCATAAAATTTTGATTTATGGTTATTATGCAGTGTGCTGATGATGCGTTCATCTGAGATAGACCTAACTGCAGCCTTTACGGATAACTGAGCAACACTATCGATCAATTTTCTGTTATGAATATCAATAAGTATTTGAGAATTATTTAGAAATCATTTAAACAACAATATTCGATTACAGCTGATTCAAAAACTCTCCAAAATCTAGTTCAAGTTCTAAAAAAAAAAATGCTAGTTCTACGGTTTTCGTCTGGTTTCTCTCTGTTGCCAAAACGCTCGAACCAATAATTTTTTACTTTTTCTTTTATCGGAGTAGTTGCCAACAATGTTAACCATAATCTGAACTACCATAATAAGCTGTTTCCCCTTATTTGGCGTCAAAGCTGTTCTCCAAAGAATATTCTAAATTTCTCTTTTCGTTGCTTCTGTAAATAAATGCCGATTCAAATTTGGTAAAAAGTGAGATTAGAAACTATGAAACCAAAGAAATGTGTAGGTTGAGCCAAATATACGATAAATGCTGAGCTTCCGTGGAATGGTGTTTGATACACATGGGTGCCTAGGCTTGACCCCAAATCGAACATAGTTGAAAGTTTCGAAATATTTAACAAAGTAAATTATTAGCTGTCTAACTGATTCTATGTTATACAGGTAATTTTGAATTAATAGCTCTCAAGTGGTGAACAAATAAATACAATACACACAAGATATAAATATAAATAAATAAAAACAAAAGAATACCGAATAACATAACTGAAAAGTAAATATAAACATTTAGACTTCCATGATTACATATCGATTGAGAATGGATATTGGCCCTTTTGTTATTAGTACTGTTCTTATAATCGTAATTATGAATTCTGAGTTCCGAGTTACTTAATTACGCAAACGAATATGAAACTGTCTGGCCAGGAGGTAGTAAAAACTTCTCAGTGGAATTATGTCTAGTTCCGCATGAATTGTGTTGTTTATAATATAGTATGGTACGTTTGTAATTTGCTGCAGAACAACATTCTGGGCAGTTTGCAGTTTTGATATAGAGTTTTACATGAAATGCTGAGCATGGAAACCAAGGTCTTCACATTGGCGATGTCTTGAACCCGAAAGTGTGTTCTACGTCATCACAGGATATTTACCTTGGCGGAGCACTTTCCTTGGTGAAATTTTTTCGCTAGCACAAGAATTGGCGCCAATTTCGTATTTTACGATCTGTGTACAATTCCGTAAATCGGAAGCCAGAAGTATGTTGTACGTCAAGTAAGTAAAATGTAAGTATAAATTAAATGCAATAAAAACCAAACACTAGTCGCAAATATACAAAATATATTATTAATAGAAGAAAAGAAGTAAATAAGCGAGAAAAATGACACAAAGTAAACACATACCTTCGCTACAAGTGAACGAAATTGGCGCCAATTTTTGTGCTAGCGAAAAAATTTCACGAAGGAAAGCGCTCCGCCAATGTAAATGTCCGGTGATGACGTAGAACACACTTTCGGGTTCCGATTTGCGGAAAACTCCTTCAATTTATTATGTAGCAGATTTCAAAGAAAATATCAATATTGCCAAAATATTAAAACTTAAAATTATACTTTATAAACAATTGCTATCACATGTCACGCCACATACCTGATTAGGTTTCTTCACGTTTCTTTATCACTTCTCTCTCTTGAAGTTGTTTTTCCTTTTTAACAAAATTCCTACCTTTCTGCTTCCTTTTCCTACGCACCCAAGGAGGTTACGCACCTGAGCTTGATTTTCTCCTTGCGGGCAGAAAGACTTAAGCGAGTGCAAAACAAGATATCTGTCTATTTCTCTATATTTAAATTGTGTTTGCTGATTAATAACTTTTTTGTATTTCTAGAAAAATTACATTTTAGATATAAATGAATTTGTTATATATTTACGTAGAGCAATGTTATCGAAATCAACATGTGTGATTTTGAATTTTTCTGTCAAATTACAGAATCTCCGAGTTAATTTTCCTGTAACAACATGCGTATGTTGTATAACAAATTCTACGAAATCTTTTTCCGACAGACGTTTAAATTTAAAGACTAATTTTGCATTTCGCGCTGAATTTCGTAAAGCTGTATCCCAAAACGAAAATTTAGCGGGAAGAGTACTATCCGGAGAATTGAAACCAACAAGGAAGGACTCATTCGTTGGAAAGCAAAAGTAAATAAAATATAACTCCTTCCATCCTTATTTCATTATATAGACAAACTTATATAGTAGTAGAATTGAAGTTATTTTTCTGCTTTTAGTTCTTATAACGATATGCCTTAAGTTATGTTTGTTTATTTCTGCTTGATAATGAGCTTTTTTTAATTAAAAATTTTAGTTTTTATGCCATACAAAAAAGTTAGTATTCATCGGTGTATATTAATCACAATTTTGTTTAACCTCTCCTGCAATCAAATATGCAACCCTGCTTTGATTCAAGAGATCGGAGATCTCCACTTTGTAACGAAGTTTTCGATTTGGTATAGTCTACTTCATCTATCATTTACTCTCTAGGGCTATTAGACGTAATTTCTTAAAATCCGGTTGGGTTGATCTTTGGATTATGGTAACTTGGCGATTTTTTGGCAAAAATTTGGCGACCAACTCTTTTACAGCAACCCTCTATTTTTTTTCCCTGCCGCCATTTTGTCTTCACGAAGTAAAGACATGTTTCTTTTCTTTTTATCTACTGAACACTTCTTCCAACAATCTACTAGCCGAATTACACATGCTAGAAATTTTATCTAACAAAACTGCTTAATCATGACAAATATTCACTGCAAAATTGGGAAAAAGTGCACAATACCATACTCCTTACGCATTTTTTCAAAATAACACATACACATAAACCATGTACACGTCGACTTGCCCACCAGCGGCCGAGCGGTAAAGACGCTGAACACTGGTAGTTCGGTCCGAGGTTCGAATCCCGCGAACGGGCTGGCTGCATGGGCGTTTTCGTGGTTTTCCCCATGTGTAACGTGTAAACGAGCCAGTTTCCCTTAGAAAGTCCTCCACGAAGGCATCCCTCCCATTAGGCAGATAGTCCAAGTGCACTTTGCCATAATTAAATACACACACAGTACACGTCGACTTATTTTTACTTAAAAAAACATCCCAGAATTACACAAAAATGGCATTGCGCACACTCTTCACTATATCCATGTACACTGCTTTTTTCTCATAAATTAGAAAAATTTCACGAAAATAAATGACAATTTTCTGAATCTTTAAACCCGGTAAAAGGAACATATATGAAATTACCTGATCGCGAAAAAGTATATACCCTTTCCAAATATGAACATTTCCACATATAAAATAAATAAAATATCCAAAAACTTTTACCTCTAAATCATCTATTATATTATAAACGTCACCAACAAATTCATACCGCAAGCATTACAAGTACGTAGTGTCAAATATTTAAATTATTTCCATGCACGTTTACTTCAACTAAAACGTATACCAAATTCCTACAAACATAAAATTCACAAAATAACTATCATTTAATTAAAATATCACTAAACCATGTACACGTCGACTTATTTTTACTTAAAAAAAAATACCAGAATTGCACAAAAATGGCATTGCGCACACTCTTCACCATATCCATGTACACTGCTTTTTTCTTATAAATTAGAAAAATTTCACGAAAATGCATGACAATTTTCTGAATCTTTAAACCCGTAAAAAAGAACATATATGAAATTACCTAATAACGAAAAAGTATATACCCTTTCCAAATATGAACATTTCCATGTATAAAATAAATAAAATATCCAAAAACTTTTACCTCTAAATTATCTATTATATTATAAATGTCACCAACGAATTCATACCGAAAACATTACAAATACTTAGTGTCAAATATTTAAATTATTTCCATGCATGTTTACTTCAACTAAAATGTATACCAAATTCCTACAAACATAAAATTCACAAAATAACTATCATTTAATTAAAATATAATTAAATTCAAAAACACTACTTAAAATATAAATAAGCACATACATTAAATTAATAAAAATTAGCTTACAATCCTAATTACTTTAAACTAAATCATTGCTAATAACAATTTTCCCAATAATACCAAATTACTTTACTTCCACCTTACATTTAGAACAATGCATAAAAATAATATCCTCAAATAATTAAAAATACTAACTTACCTAATCTTCTTCAGAATCTTGCTTACATGGTGGATACACTTTTATTATGGATTCAATAAAATTATTGAACGATTTTTTCTGCAAATTTTTCCTCCACACTTCCTCCGCTAAATAAAAAGCAAAATGCTCTTTATCACAATGCCTCAGAATGGCGCTTTTTATAGCACTCCACGTGCCCTCTATTGTATTGGTATGTGCACCTGTTTCTGGATCTTTAAAATAATATTTGTGGTTCACAGCAAGATGTTTAAAACCTTCATCTTCGAAACATTCATATGATTTCCAGCAATCTGAAATAATTATAGTACCCGATAGAATATATTCTTTTATAAAACTTAATAAACAATCTTTACTTCTATCTCGCACAACCTTAAAAAAAACATTTATTACTACCCCTTTCAATCCCACCAAACACCCATTTTCCTTCCACTCTCCTACCTCTCTGATACTTCCGCTTCCCAAACTTACTCTCATCAATTTCCACAATAACATTCATACCACCAAACATACCCATGTCATTTTCGCAAAATTCCACGCACGCTTCCCTACAAAAAGAATTCCAATCAGCTGCAGTCCTACTGCTAATTTCTAAATCCGAAATCCACTAGTCAACTGGCAATCTATTCACCCAATAATAAGAAATCAATAAAATCTCACCCATACTCAAACGACTTTCACCAAACCACGTACCCTTCCTTACACTCCGTTTCACCAGATTTCTTGCACCGCCATTCAAACTTATCAGTAATATCCTTCTTTTCACACAATCTCATTTCATTCCCACATTTTGGACATTCATACTTATCCGCAATTAAACCTAAACTCATGCACCATTCAACCAATTCTTTTGAATTATCACATAAACGCATTAAAAATCTAGAATTCATTTTACACAGCGCCATACAATCCCAAAATTAATTCAACCCTACTTTCACACAACACACAATGAAGCTTAATACTGCAAAATAATATACAGAACCACAGATATTTTTTCCAAATTTTCCCCCTTTTCCGATTAAAGAACCGTATTGATTCGTCCATTAATGTCACATGACATATCTCATGATCTCTCATTTCCCCTCACACAAAATAATGCGTAATCGGAACTGGAGTACTTGCTCACATTATTACCAAAGTCCCAGGTTATCCCAGTCCTTTATCGCCTCCAAAATGTCGCCAAACTACCAGTTACCATATTCTAAAGATCAGCCTCCGGTTGATACGCAAGGTCCCGTACTAAGAAGTAAATAAACTCTGAAGAGTATATGAACATAAAATAATTATTTCTTGTAACCCCTAAGTAGTGGTAATTCACATAAATCTTGGCCAGCAATTGGCAATTATAATAGCATTTCACGCATAAAATATCAATACAGTGAATATTTGTAAAATGTAAAGAAAGTAATAAATAATGGTAGAATTCCATTTTGTGGACCGCCAAACTATTGTTGATGCCAATGCTGCCAAAAATAATTACGGTAACTCTAACGCAAGAAAGGAAGTATAGTAGTAAATAACTATCTAAGATTATTGTTTTAATTTAAATGGAAGGTTAATTTCATATAATACTTCTTTTTATTATTATAATTTATACAAAAATAGGCTAAACATAAATGAATGGAAGCATAGGAAGGAATGGAAATGGTAGATAACTATTTCGGATTATTATTTTAATTTAGATAAAAGATTAATTCCATATAATACAATTTTTTTGCTTTCATTTATGGCTAAAGATACCCGTTCCAACATAGCAGAGAAAATTTCAGTTTTTTTGTGTGAACGTCTGTAAATAAATTCGGATAAATAAGAATCGAAATGCTTTTGAGCACTGCCACGATGGCGTTTATTATGCCATTTAGCACAGCCGCTCTACTCTTTGTGTATGACACCCGCTTTCGAAAATCCACAAAATTGTAGTTGTGAATAACAGTAAAGTGTTCAAAACTGCCTGCCATCTTGCACTTCATATGACTTGTATGATTTCCAGCAGTCAGTATAAATAATGCTTCCTTCTGTGGTATTTTCCTTTATAATGTTCAGTAAGGTTTTCACCGATCAATATGGAACAATGACTTAAGAAACATTCATTTGGTTCTCTGCACAATCCACCAAAAACCCATTGTGGCAGAAGAAAAGTCCAGCGTTATTCTATCTTTTCCTGAAATGGCTTTTGTCTACTTCAATAATTTTGCCAAATCTACCAATTTTCAACTTAGGCTGAGCAATTAAAGCTATGGCACAAACCTCATGCATGTAACTGTTCCAGTTTACAATTGTATTGTGGTTCATTTTCAGCTGGAGTACAGCTGTAAGAAAGGGGATTTTTGATCCTTAAACCAATTTTGACTTCTTAATCCTTTCTTCTCATTACAGGTTTCTCTCCTGCACCACCATTTTGCTACTGAGTTATGGCTAAAGCATAATTTCATCTTGTGGTTGTTCTAACATAATTTTCTGCCATGAATGATTCCTTTTCTTTGAAAAAATTCTATTGTGGACTTTTCATCATTGGGCAATTCTCAAATTGTTAAATTCCTAGCATTATCAAAAAAGAATAAAAAATTAAACTAGTATTTCAATGGTGACTTACAAATATAGAACGGAAGGCTAATCTTTGGGATATGGTAACAGGCAGTTTGGTGACATTTTGGTAGGCAATAAAGGTTACTACCTAGGACTTTGGCAATAATGTGAGAAGTACCCAGTTCCAATTACGCATTATTTTGTGTGAGAGAAATGAGAGATCATGAGATATGTCATCTGACCTTTATGGACGAATCACAGTTCTTTAATCAGAAAAGGGGGGAAATTTGGAAAAATATCTGCAGTACTTTATAGCATTTTGTATTCAGCTTCATTGTGTGTTGTGTGAAACGGTGTTGCTTAATTTTTGGATCCCATGGCCCTATCTAAAGTGAATTCAAAATTTTTATTGCATTTAGCATTTTGTATTTAGCTTCATTGTGTGTTGTGTGAAACTGTGTTGCTTAATTTTTGGATCCC